TTAGCCAAGCACGTAGAGTGTCCGGTACCAGACATTCTTATGTGCTATGGAATAACAAAGGACGGAAGCAGGCTATGAGCCTCATCTGCGAAGAAAAAGATACGCTCTAGAAGTCCCAATCCATTGTCAATGCAATGAATTAATAGGGATCTTCCGTTATATATATATATACATAGGAGATCATATATAAAGAAAGAGAAGCAGAAAGGTATACCACGGAGAGCCTTATTCGTCGTCATCGATGACGAAGTACGCTTTATCGAGGATTGTCCGAGGTGTACTCTTCTGCTTCCTTCGTGGATGTGTGTGTGTGATCGATCTAGTCTGTTTATGTCCATATATTTCCGTTTATATATCGTACGTGAAAAGAAAAAAATTGTATAATTTCGTCAGGATAAATTGCTTTATTACATCTAGTCAATCGGCTGTTACATGAAACTAATGAAAAAAAAAAATAAATAAATAACAGTATGTTGGTTTGTTCCAAAAATCAATATAATTTCGGGCATGCATCTTCGTAAGATTGCGTGTATGTATACATAAAAAATTTTTATCAAGCTTATCGAAGCTGCACGAATGTCGTCACGCATACCGAATATTATAATTTCGTTTGTTCGCGTTTCAAAAAAATTAACATGGACACAACTGCAAATTTACTATAAATATTAAGCTTCAAAATTAAGACTTTTCTCTTTTGCAATCTAGAAGGGCCCATTTCATCGCATTGCAAAATAGTCAGTAACATCAATGTTCGTATTTAAATATATCGGAAAAGTATAGTGCATTTTTACAATTAAAATGCGGGTAATTTAAAAATGACACGCATACTTTTTTCGGAGATTCGAACTTATTCTCGATGAACGGATTGGTCACAAGCTAGTTTCAATTTTTTTCTTAGAATTCAATGTTTTCCTTAGAAAGTTAATTTCTTTGTAAGTAATTTTTTTGTTGTGTTTATTAAATTATTTGTTAATATATTTAAAAAGAAATTTTTAAATTTCTACAAATGTGATTTTATATAATATTTAATTAATGTAAAGATACAAAAATTCTATCAATGGTTTTTAAATATTTGAATTATTACAAATATAACAAAAGGCTCAGCCATTTTCGGCCATTTTTATTAATAAATTATCAATTACCTACCAGGAAATACGATCAAACGAAATTTAATAATTAATTACAATTATGCAATATAAGTTTTGCAAAAAGATTCAGTTATCTTAAAAATGAATGTTTCTATTTATATGCGGTGTCTATTTATATGCGTATAAAATATAAAATTATTATAAGATTTGAAATAATCGGTTACACATAAGTAATTAAGCGAGAAAGTTATTTCTTAAATTAAATGAAATCAGATTAATAAAATTGTAAAAATTTAATCCAAGCGCGCATTTAAAGTTATATAATGGGCAAGATAATAGCAATTTTTAATTGAAATTGGTTTTTAAAATCAATTCTTAATTATGGCTTATAATTTAAAGCCTTAAACCTTTAATTATTTAATAATTTAATAATTTAAAAAGCCTAACAGCTAATATAGATCTTCTGATTCAGAAAACGGAAATGTTTTCAAATTTTTAGGTCAATTTTGAGTAACTTTAGGAATGAATGCGAGAAACAGTATTTTAGCAAAAGAAATATGTCTATTAATTTATTAAGACGTACAATTCGAGAGAAACAAGAAATTATAATCGTAATTGTGAAAAATGCTGTAAATAATATATCTAGCGATACTTATAAATTTTTTTTGTAAATGACACCAAGATTGATCAATATATATGTAAAATTATTAGACGCGCGTCTAATAACAATGTATAATCAATGTGTAATCAAGTATTGTGATCAATAAATCATCAATACCTATAATTTTGTTTATTTTCTCTCTCTCTTAAGATACAAATGATAGAAATGGTAATAATTGTACTATGTGATAAATATTTAAAAAAGAAAAAGATCTTCTTAAGATCTTCTGTTTGAGAAATTTTTCGCTCAATGTTCATTATTTAATATGAGAATGACAAAGATAATATAATATTGATAATATAACATTTTGCAGCTTTTATCATATATCAATATCTATCTTAATTTTTCCAAGCTCTTATCAAAACATTATTAATATATTTTATGCGATTCGAATTGTTATTACTTTAAATTAAGCTTTAAAAATCAGCAGTGTACGTTTTATACAATCTATTTTTTATTATTAGAGTAAATAATGGATAGAGTAAGAAATCATCTTTTTCTTTGATTGGAAATGAGAGATAACGTATTTCTTAAATTGATACATATATCAAAGTACTACAACATGTAATTTCATTTAAGAATTTTGTATATTTTTTTCAAATCACTAACATTAATGATTTTTCTTTTTAACCATAAAATAACATTGATACGACGCACTGTTTGAAAGTAAATATAAAAAGAAAAATTCAAACGTGAACATGTGCAGGAGAAGGCTAAATTTAGATTAGTATCATCGTAGAGATTGTGTCGCGTAGATTCTGTATACGACAGAACGAAAGAAAGAAGGTTAAAAGAACGAAGAAACTAACAAAGATACGTCCGTGCGATCAGCTGTAAGTAAAAGGTAGGAATACAAGAACAAACTTGATTAAAAAATTAATTTTTGTTAGTAATAAAATATTTGGCGGACCAAAAAAATAGAGAAAAGACAAATTTGAGGTTAGAAATAATGAAGAATAGATTAAATATTAGCTTAATATGTGCATGTATAAATATACAAAGTTTAGAAATCACCGATGTTTAATGAAGTAGTTGCGGCATTGTGATATGATGAGGGTGGAAGAATATCTAAAAGAATAAAATATTAAGTATAATAAATAGTTATATTTTAGTTGAAAGGCATGCTTATATATAATATTAAAAAGATAAACGTATCAATAGGGTTAATAATATTTTCTGATAAATATATTACAGCAGTATACATAAATATATTATATGTTTAAAAATGGATTTAATTTTAATGTAATGGAGAAAACTAAATTTTAATGTAATAAAAAAGTGTTATGTATTAAAATTTTAATGCATTTAAAAATTTTAACAAAAAAAAATTTTTTTTAAGTTTATAATAATTTAAAAATAAATATAGATAAAAATGAGTACAATCTCCAATGGTATTTACCCAAAAAGACATCTGAAAAGTATACTTGCTGAACGGAATAACTTTCATAATGAAGAGAGTATACTTTGTACAGAAGACAATTTACAGCAATCTTTGCATACACTGAATGAGGTAACAAAACATGACTAATAATTTTGCTAACATGTATACAAGTATATGTATATGGATGTTAGTCAGCATTTATTTTTATAGGAATTTGAATCATTCGGTATTGCACCAGTAACTGCACACCATAGTATGCAAACTTTAGAATCATTCAAAAAGCTATCCGTAATAATAATAAATGCTGCTTGGAACATGATACATAAACATAGGTCTTTAATGCACGTACATGATCAGTTGATAGATTCAAATCACAGAACTGGTAATGATAATGTTAATCTCAAGGTAAGTTTGCTTTTACATCAAAGAATGTACATATAATAAAATATGTTGTATTATTTTATGCTATACGTAGAAAATTATTAGTAAGTATATGGAACTAATTATATTTTATAGAAGAAATTATATTTTGTAATATATCTTGTAAGAAATGGTAACATTAATTTAATTGTGTGCAATGTGTCAATAGAATCAGGTAAAACGTTTAAAAGAAGACATACAAAAAAAGGAGTATTTGTTACACGAGGCACAGGAGAAAGAAAGAAGACTTAAAGTACAATGTGAGAGTATGTCACGCGATCTGAAACACGAAAAAGAAGAGGTAGTTCAATTTATGTAAAATATATGTAGAATATGTGGCGGTATCACATATATGTAGGTATATATAAGCCAATCTGAATATTTTGCAAGAATTACAGTTAAACTACTGATTTCTAGGTGCGAAAATTGAAAAAGCAAGCCCAGTCCAAAGATATTCAACATGAACACGAAGTAAGAAGAATTATGCAGAACAGCCAGAAGCTACAGGAGCAGTTACAAAAATCTGCTGGTTAGTAGAATCATATTTTTGGGTAATTTTACTAAATGTGTGATTGTTTAGTTTTTATATTTACTTGAAATACGCTGTTGACGCTATACAGTTTGTTCTCTCAATTATTTCATGAAATGTAATGTCTTTGTTATTTTTTTTTAATGTTCTGTTATTCTCTAATGAATCCTTCTTACACAAAGATGAATGAATCGAGCCATTGCAGCTCAACTGTATGGCGAGTTGCCTATCAGTCAAGAGTTTGGCTTCAATGCTTCAGAATATCGCAGTTATTTCAACGTGTTTCTATTCGAAATATGTTAGGCGGAATGCATGACTCGCAAGGGTGATATAGAAAGCATCCTGTATATATAGCATGCCAAAGTACATTTAACATTTAATATAAGTGTAACCATAAATATATGTTTTATGAAAATATTTGCGAAATATATAGTGAATGTATCTTATTTTTTTCTCTTGTCTGAATATATATTTTTTATTTCTTTCTTTTATTTGCAAGGTACCTTTGTGCCGAGAGATAAAGTCTTACAAAAGATGCAGGCGAATCATGAGAAAGAACTGACTTCGTATAAGCAAACTATTTGCCACTTGGAAGAGAACAGTAGGCAAATGTTGGAAGAAATCAATAATCTAAAGGAAGCTCTGGATTTACATAGGACTGGAATTGATTTACATATCGAAGCATCCGGAGCATGGACAGACTTAAACACCAAATCTGATTGACGTTTGTAATTTATTTATTATTTTAATGTGCACAAAGTGAAAGTGCATGGAATTATTTAAAATATATCTATATCTATCTAATATATCTAACTCCGTTCTATTATATTATAACGAAGTTCTATTATATTACGAATATGTATAGATATATTTTAAATTCTACTTTTATTTTGTGCACATTAAAATAATAAATACAAACGTCAATCAGATTTGATGTTTCAGTTTCCGGATACTTCGGCGTTGTAATAATATTACTTGTTGTCAAGAGCTCTAAATATTTTGCAAACATGATATTTCGTATAAAAAGATTGTGTTTAATTTGTTTATTTAAAATAAATGCTTTGTGATTTTATGCTGCAATTAATAGATCTGAAATATTTAACTCGGAATTAATTAAAATATATCTATACATTCGTAATATAATAGAACGGAGTTGTAATAATATTGCTTGTTGTTGAGAGCTCTAAATGTTTTGTAAACATGATAGTTTGTATAAAAATATTGTGTTTAATTTGTTTATTTAAAATAAATGCTTTGTGATTTTATGGTGCAATTAATAAGTCTGTTCTATTTAACTCTATTCTCTCGCGCTTTCGTTGCACGCGAAATTGCAACGTAATTATAACGAAATTGGTACATCATAATTACATTTTCGAAACGGGAAAGAAAATAGCAAAACAACTAACAGCTACATCTTGAAATGAAAGGATCTAATGTAATAAGGAAGTAACTCGAGAATTCAATAAAACGAATTTTTCTCCGCAAGTCGTGAAAAAGCCGAGTAATTACAGCGCGGCGAGCGCAATTAAGACGATTCAAAGCCCAGAAAAGTCCAGATGGCATTTTTAAAGATTTTTATTTTTAATTTTACATTTTATACGGTATTTTATACCAAAGATTATTAACATTACTGAGTCGTCAGAGATTATTAACTTTTCACAAGTTGTCAAAATAAAAATAGTTTCTTCGATTACACACATAATATCGCTCGCGTATGAAGTACTATGAAATATAAAAATACACAATTATTATATGAAAGAATTAATAGAAGCATCTTGATAGCAACGTTATTAACCATCCGAGGATAAATTTCGAGACGTCTGATTGAGGCAGAGCCTGACCGCTGCTTTTCGGGCATTTACAATTGCCCGCTTTGCAGACTATGTTATTTAGATTCGTGAAGAAATTGATAGACTGATTGTCTCTCGAATAGTTAATCTCGTTTGGCAGCATATTGTGACTGCTGTCGATATTCTCCGCCTTGAGCCTCAGAGCGCTCTTGCCGTCCGCGCATATGCCGTTTACTGTGATGCTAGTCGCGACTAGATTAAGGCTTATATTCGAAAAGACGCTGTTTTTCACGATTGCGGTGTCGGCATGAAAGGACATTATGTCCGGCTTTTGCAGTTCGAATCTAGAGTTGATGATGTCGATACTCTGGAAACTGGCAAAATTCAAGGACGTCGTGATGTTCCGTAACTCACTATTTACTATGCGCAATGTTTTGCCCTTTTCGGAGATATTCAGCTTGCATATACGCTGAATTGTGACGTTCGACATGATAAAGTGCGACACGTTGATGAAGCTGAGCTCCTCCTGAAAATCCTCGATGAAAACGTTTTCGATTTCGAACGTGTCGATAGTCGCCAGGGCTCCGAACGTTAAAGGCGCGATGATCGGTATCCGGCCGATGTTCGAGAGTTTTAGCCGCCTCATTCGTCTCGATGAAATGTAGATGTTAAAGTCCAGACGATCGCTGATATTTTCGATTACCATTTCCTCGAGTTTATTCGCTTCCGGCATAGTGGAGTAATAAAAAATCACTGAGACACATCCTGTGACTGATACGCTGATAATTTTTTTGTAATCGTAATTCTCTGGCAGGGAGAGTTTCTACAAAACAGAATTTAGTCAGAACACTGTGCAATGTATTCTCAATTATTTTACGACTACTTGTATTTTGCATCTTGGATAAATAATAAACTGATGAAAGAATAAACATATTGTATTCCATTTTCTCAAAATGAATAAGAAAAGTGTAAATTTAAAGTTTTAATTGTACAATGCACATAATATCTTAATTCCTTTTTAATTATACTTTACTACAAATTAATATAGAATGTCAGAGAACAGAATTCAAAATTTTAACAATGATATTGATGTGACGTTTAATCCATTCATTTTTATCACTGAAAATATTTCACTTTTAATCGCTTTCAATTTATAAGTTGAAAGCTTCGATATTCACGCATAGATGGACATCATCAATTAGTCAATGAATATGTCTGCAAAATTTAATGGTTTATTTCAAGATCTCGTGTTGGGACGAAATGTGAACGAATGCACTGAGCTTATCATGATTTGGTGCGGAGCTATTAGTCAGTACCTCATTTCCGATGCAACTACATGTAAGCTTGCTTTCATTGTGAACTTGGCATTGTTCGCTGATATTATTCGCAGTCACGGACAATGCTGCGGTGAGTATTACAATCAGTAGGGTTACTCCCATATTCACCGCTGAACTTGTGCATAAAATCTCACTACCGGCTATGCTCGCGCTGAAATTAGAAAAGGAAGTGTTCCATTCCAGATTGATAAAGATACGGATAAGAGTGATATATTATCCTGTACATAATTTTTTTTTTTTAAGCGAATGTGTAGAAATAAATAGATGCAAATATACTTTTGGCATGCAAATTTTGTATAAAATTTTAAAAATGCAATTTTTTAATATTACATTTTCTTCATATTACATGCTGCATTATTTATTAGATAATATAATACTTCTTTTACTTTTTTTATCTTGCATCTATTTAAAAATTTTCTTGCAACTCCTTTAACTATCTCAAACATAACTTTATAAAGCTGTATTATGCATTTAAGTAAGACACATTTTATTTAATGCCAGTTAAAAACAAATAATAAAAAAACTACAAATTATTTGTTTAAAACGAGTATAAAATCGGAAACTAAATTCACCAAAATTATACTCGTTTTAAACAAATAATTTGTAGTTTTTATTTCTAAGAATAAAAATATATTATATTTTTGTGTGTGGATTTTTGGACGTCAAATTTTAAATCGGATTTCGCGCGACAATCTGCGAGAATTTCGGCAGTTTATCGGATTCAGATATCGTTAACTAATATTTGTAGATTAATACATTTTTTTGGTAAAAATAAAATTTACTAAACTCACTGAATGAAAGCTTTAAAGCGTATTTTTCTCCGCGAATCGTCCAATTTTAATCCGCATTTGAGAAATCAAATGAGAAAAAAACACTCTCACCATACTTTGAAATTTTCCAACGTGGTGAAACTAGACTTTCCGTCGATTTCCTTTGTCGCTCCTCTCTTTAAAAGCTTTAGTTCGTTCGCGCGTACTTTTTGCAAGTTCTTTTGCAGAACACTTGGCACTATTCTGACAAGTTTCCGGTGATTTTCCAACGATGGTTTTTTATCGAGATTCTGCGTTTTAAAAGGCAGCGTTTCAAAAGCGTTTCAGGTATACGCTGGAATAACGAGTGCCACTTCCTCTTACACGATCCGTTGATACTACTCGTAATATAGGCGACTATTTTGGGGATCACATTCGACCGACGAATGAATCCACGGTCGAGTGCGCGATTAAGATGGACAGCTCTTTCACGCCGCTTTTTTATAGTGACTGATGTGTGAGTAACGCAACTTGCTATTCGATAAATGTATTCCGGTAGTCACAGAGCACTGTGTATAACGTATTTGTTAGATTATATCAAGTTATTTCAAGATATCATGGTGTGACAGTACACCGGAAAAACGCAGTCATACCGCGACGGAGGCTGTCAGGGAATCTTGTGCTATAAGTAGTCGCATTATCAGCTTTGGTGGTCACATCATCCTGATATTAAAATTATTTCTTATAATGTATGCAGTTTGCAGGCTGTTTTATAATTGATAACTTTAATTCTAATAATGTTTTCTGTTAATAATATATTTTGACAAATTTAAAGTCTATTCTTTGATAAATTTTTTTATAAAATATTGAGCCGTCAAGTTGAGTTTTCTAGAAGGTTATAGTTTGATATTTATTTCTAAAAATATATCATATAAAAGTTTATTTTTTGGTAATTATAATTATATTTCTTGATACCTTCGTAGAAGAAAAACTGATTTAGGACCCAAGAATCTACTATTTAGCGTTGATGCAATAATAGCTAAATCTATATTGACAGCGAGTCTGCGATCCATTATTTATTTATTCTTAAATAACATGTTGCGTAAGAAAGATCGTAACTTTATAAGAAATTATGTAGTTTTTTGCGTTATAAAAATTTATTTTTAATTGTATTCTTATCGTTGTAGACAACCGTGTATAAAAAGAATAATTTGTTGAAAAATTAAATTACAGATTAGTTAGTTTGTATCAATCTGCATCCACGATTCTCCGTATTAAGTTATTATACATGCGCAATCTAGACATAAGGAAAAGGAAACAATGTAGTGGATTAAGACGGATGATTGATTCATCACTTGTCTTCACATTTCCAATAAATCACTACTTTGATGTCGGGAATAATAATCATAACAACTCACAATTAGGCGAGCTGCTAAACAGTGACGAATTGATTATTAAGTGTGATAAAACCTGGCATATAGCGATTAAATTATTTTTCTGCTTTTTCTTAACATGTAAGGAAAAGCACAATGTGTACACATTAAATAGGAAGATAATTAATGCATGATTACTTTTAAAGAAGATGCTGTGTATTTTTAACGTATTCATTTTTTTACATGGAATACTTTTTGCAAAAATAAATAGATATACAGTTTCGTCCGTCTATTCGTTTTCACTTTATTCTCAGTCGGATGTATCAGGGCCTCCAAATTCCGCCGTTCGAGGCATAAAAATATTTTGACTCCCTACTAAATCTTAAATCAACGAATGAAGAGTTAACGTGCATTAGAATTCATCGTACGAAATGAAATAGATGGGGAATTACATTGTTTCACGGCGCGGGAGGTGCACGGGAATACCTGGTGGCGCAGTTGTCCATGTATAAAAGTGTATATTTGCGATTTACATATATGCTAATATAGCACATTTCTAGTAGCGACGCATGCTCAACAAAATTTGCGCACTCACGCACGCACACACCGCGGAATCGGAATTATCGTATACATCGCAGTGGTTTACGGCGCCAACTTTTCCATTCATAGAATAATCGAGAATACACATGCAAAACTGGCGCTACAATTTATTCCCGTGTGCTGTAACAATATTTATGACCGATCCACGTTCCACGTAACGATTTTGCAGCTGTCAATTTAACGCTTTGCTTTTTGATTCCGCGTAAATCCGAGTAAATGATGAATAATGCGATGTAAAAGAGCGAAATCGAGGAAAACTTCTCAGCGAAGCCTTAAAATCTTTTCTATTAGTTTGCAGTTGACGAGTATGTAAATGAGCAGCTTGAGAAAACTGCAGTTGTTTCGCGAAACAGACTATTTTGGTATACAATCAACGCTATATACATATATTGAATGTTCGATAGTTAAAACTAATGTTTAAACATTATTATCTTACGAAAAAAAATATCAGTAGAAAATATGTACATATTAATTACAGAAAGACATTGTCAGTAGTGTTGGATATTATAGCAGAATTGTTCCGTTTTGCTAATATCGGCATTCCATATTCGTATTAAACAACAACTTTGAGCAAATAAATAAAGAACTTTTGGTTCGCTGAAACTGTAAACTAAAAATTTGTAAAAAATATTCGTAATTATAAAAATATCACCGGTGTTATAGATTAAATTTAGAGCTGCACAAGTGACTTGCCCGCTTACGAAATGCGGTTCTCTGTATGCGAGAATGGAAAAAGAAAATATCAGAATAATAGGCATAACTAATTAGAAAACAACCCGCGGAGGTATCGCGATGATAATATTGCTCGACTTTAGCGTGTTTGTGCAACTCTGAATTAGACAACTAAAATATTCAACGCGACTAATACTAAATGCATTTTAGAAAGCATTTGATCTAAAATATTAGAAATATTCACTTTTGTTAGCTACTGAAAACTTAAACATTATCGGAGTGCAATGATTACAGTACACTACATTACAACAGTTCAAAGTGATAAAAGTATTTGCCGTCTTAACGATATAAAGCTTAAAAACGTAATAATATATGACACAAGAATATCTCGAAACATTCTTGTCGATTGACCGTTTGATTTTGTCTCTTTTTATATGAAAGATATATAGCATATAATTACATTCTAATTAGAATAATAAATGTCATTCTAAAAATAAAAAGAAAAGAAAAAATGTTATATTTTCAAATATACATATTTCGTTCCTCTTGTTTGGAACCACAGAAAGACATTGTTTGTTAATTCTAACAGTTGTATCGCTGTCGAGTGGACACTGCGAATATAATTTGATTGCCCTGTCGTATTAAAGCGCGCGATCGTACAGCTTAAATACGAATTATAACATTTTTTCCAGTAGTTTCACGCGAATAATAATGTTACGTGTCGTTGGTACTCTTTTTTTCCGGCTTGAGTCACAGTCTTGAAGGTTTCGCTCGCGTAAACGTCGCATTTGATTGCGTTAACGTTCACAAAATAAGAGCGGGAAGCGTCGAGGAGTCCAAAAACGCGTGCTCCCGAAGACTTCCATGGAGATCAGTCTTATGTTGAGCTCGCGACTCGCCGAGCTCATTGCCCGTGTCTTTTATCGTTATCATGATTTCTTGTAGAATATCCTTTTAATAACATCTTTCCTCTCGGACGACACGAGTGCCAAAGGTGTCTTGCCCTGCCGATTCTGTATATTCGTCTGGCCACCGGCTTGTATTAGAAGCCGGCAGACTTCCTTCTGTTTCTCCAAGTCTACAGAGTTCGAAACCGCGGCCATGTGTAGCGGCGTATTGTACATGTAGTTAGTCTCGTTCACAATGCTCGAACTGGCCTTGCTCAGCAATACCTGTTGAACGTGAGAAAAGTCTGAGCGTAAAGCACGTGAACAAACGAAAAGTGTGACACGTGTCGTCAATTTATTCGTTAATATAATCCCGCGACATAAATACGACGCAGCGCGTTAGAATAAATTTCAAATTTTAATTTTGCTCTGCGTCTGCGTTTTCTAATTAAAAAAAAAATTGCGATGCTGTTTGAGAAATCTGTATATCGATAGGTCGATGCTTTCGGAGGACGGTACGTTGCAGACCGCATTGACGTACTCGAGTAAGACGCAAGTAAACCGCAATTGTCGTCGCGCGACATAATAAACATATCAATTTCGCGTGTAAGTGACGCGCGACGCCGGGAAATCCCTCAAGTAAATTACCTTGACGAGCGCAGGATCGCAATTCAACGAGGCTGCCATGTGTAGAGCGGTGTCCCCGCACTTGCTCTCTTTCACTTTGAGATCCGCGCCGTTCTCCAAGAGCAGACGCGTCGTGGCCAAGGACTTGACGCCTCGCCCAATGGGATCGTGCGATTCGACTGCTATGTGAAGTGCGGTTCTTCCTGAAACGCAAGCGTGCGTTCTTATTCCTCTTTATCTCGAATCTCGTTCTCATTTCGTAATTAAGTAATTTACTGATTAAGCTCTTCAATTTTCTTCAACTAACCGTAATAATTACGCTTGGACAGATCAAACACAGTGTTTCCTTGCAGTGTCTTCAATGCTAATAACTCAGCCAGGACTTCCCCGTAGGAATCGCCGCGCGCTGCAACTGAGTGTATCAGCGTGTCGCCCTAAAATAAGAAACGACAATAAAATCGGAAAATTATCTCATCGTGATCATTAAAATAATTTTTAATAATCGTTAAACACGTTAATTGCTTTTAAATTAGTCTTTTTTGTCAAGCCTCTCTTTTGCCGTTGCAGTCATTCAATGATTGTATGCAATTAATCACTTGAAAGTGTATTTGTTAACAAATAATCATTTTATAGACAATTATTTCGTCCGTAAGATTCTTTTCTATGTAATTGGAATTGTTTTCTTAGAAGACTCATTTAAATTGCAATACGTGATCCAAGCGCGAACATGATTGATTATATATATTAGAGCGATTTAATGAGCCGCACAAATCGCGGCGCTCGCATGAAGAATCGTAAAAAAAAAAGAGGAAACTCACGCGTATGTGATATAATCGTTGATTGATATCGATCCCTTTCTGCAGCATTGCAGCGGCCAGATATCCGACGACGTACGGCATTTCCGGGCAATTCATAGCAGCCAAATACAAAGCATCCTCGCCACGGTTGTTCACCATTGACAAAGCGCCCGGTACGTTGCCCAATCTCTCGACCAACGGCGCTAAATACGCTTTTTTCGTCGCCAGTTCTTCCGGATTGCCCACCAGGCACATCAGTGCCCTGTTATATGCAAATGTGATTATTAACACGTAAAGATTAAAATCAAGTTAATTATTTGAAAAACCGAAAAGAGAAAACGAAAAGAAAAAATTCTAATTTAATTGTAAGATACATATTCGATGTAGCGTAGAGGCCTCGTTATAATTTTAAGTAATAAGACAATAATATTATAAACGCTGTGAAGAGGGAAGCGTCAGTGATTGAAACATTTGTTACCAATACTAGTAAAAACAAAAAATTTAACAAGAACGTCTAGCGTTGATTTTACTTTTTTTTTATTTAAAAAATAAACTGTTCGTATTAGCATCTCTTTTTTATCGATTTAAATATTGGAAATTGATTATTTGTTATTATTAATTGCGTTTAATAATTAAATGATTAAATTAAATAATTAATTTAAATAATCAAAATTGGACGGAGTTACTTACGTATCGCCATCCTCGTCCGCGGCCGCTAGTTCCTCTACAGATTTTTTCAAAAGATTACTCATGGCTCTTTCCACTTCCTTAGGATGCAATCCTTCCTTTAATCTCTCACTCGCTCTTATGGATGGTAAGTTCAGCGAAGGCCACGGTACTATGCCTCGATTGGAGTTCCTATCGTGACAAATCGAGTCATTAATCACATTTCTTATCATTTATTCGAAAGAGCTGCGATAATTATTTCAACGCATATATTAAAATAAGAATATATATACATATATATTAATATAAGAATGTATGAAGCAAATTAAAAATAGTTTTCAAGACTATGACTGATTTAAATATTTGATTTGTGCAGCTTTAAATTTGATCGAAAAATCGATTTTTTATAAGAAACATCTTTATATACATATTCCTTTTCTGGTTCATAATTAATCCCGTATTTTCCAATGTGCCCGCGAAGGTGCCGCACATATGTAATAAATTCACCATTAGAATCTTGAGCAATTGGTTTATCGCGAGAGACGTCCTGTTATTGTCTGCTTTATAGCGATATCTGTTATTAACTTTTTTCATGTAACTTCGTGGAAACACAGCACGCACGTTTTCTTGCGATTGCGATTAACGCTAGCGCAATCAAAGTGTACGTTTAGAAATATAACGCATACTTTGATCGTTTTCTGAGAGAAAAAAAAACTTTATTTTTAATAACGTCAGTTTTAATTGTCTACAATTAACATATATTTCTTTCATCGATCATGAATTATTTATCATCGATATTTATTCATCGCGTGCCAGAAATTTTCTCGCAGAGACGATTATTTACCTTCGCGGACGGCTGGACGCGGATGAACAGACCGTCGTTGGTATCTGATAGTCCCGTACGAATGTCGACGATGGCTGG